GTTTTATTGAATTGCGCTTTGAATGAGAAGTAGTATTATTTTTGTTTTGGGCTACTTCGATTTTTCATATAATAGAATTGTGCCATATTTTTGAACGGCTTTATTTAAAGACTATTGATTTTCGATACGAAGTATGTTAGTCAAAAGTTTTTTAGAATTGTTTAGCGAGTTGAAAAAATTAAAAAATAGACAGGGAATTCCTTAAAAAAACAAACTTAAGGCTATTTCCGATCAAAGCGGAAGGGCAATTCAATCGTTTTTATGTTACAAATGTTCACAAATGCTGTAGTACACAATAGTTTCGTTGTCATTCCGGTAAAACAGCAAAAATATGAGTGGGAACGCAACTAGTTCAAGATTCATACATTTTTGTTTGTATGACGTCACTGGTACTCCGTCTATCCATCGAACAATAGAAAGGCCGTACTGCCAATTCGTACTCTCCGAAGACTATAATAATCTACCACAACAATGGCTACGAATCAATACGAGACTAATTGCGAGTATGGTATCGCTGATAAAAATATATCATAATTTTATAAATTATTATCTTATATGTATACGCGAAAATGTTAACTCTTATTAAACCCATCATCGTCTTCGTATATAATACGCTGACGTTGCGTAATTATATCTGAGAAATATGTGTGCCGTATGATGGTCGGTGGTATACATTATTGTTTTTAACTAGGCAAAATTATGCAATACGATTCGTTTCATTATTTGGTAATACGTAAACGTCTGGGGGATTATTACGGCTTGATAATTTAGCGCTTAAATTCGGAATATTAATAGTTTTTTCACAAGAGACGTTTTCTTCCGTCGTCGTGCGTTTATGACCCTTGCGTAAAAGACTTTTACTACGCCCGTGGGTTTTTTTTAATACGCTTGTAGGTGGTGACGTAGTCAAAGCAGAAAAAATGTAAAGTGGCACATTTCGTTATTGAAAAGCATATATTATTCATTCATTATTATCACTTCCAGGGAAATGAAATTATATCTAATATCTAATACCAACCCCGAAAGTTGTGCAATTGTTAGTCCGTAACTTTTTTTAACAACGAACTATTTATTTTTCGAGACTTTTATATTTCTCTACGATATTTTTTATGGTAAAATCTCTTCATTAAGATTAAATGATGTCTAGAGATCTTTATTTGGACTGTTTTAAAGGCATATACTTTTAATTTAAATCTACAATGAGCTACAATGACAGAACTGGTTCACACAATGCCAAATAAATCTATCTAATGGATTAATATAGATTCAGCTGTCAATATTTACCAATTTTGACATAATTAAAGACTAGCGTATTTCGCGTCTAGCTCCGAGAATCATTTTTGCCAATAATAGACTATGAAAAGTTTGCCTGGAAATTGCCATCGGATTTGCACTAACTCTACCCATAAATTCTATAAAAAAAAATTTACCAAGTATTACCTCAAAACGATTTTAGATATAAATTTGTGACCTGGAATTACTAGAATAATTGATAGTATAATAGTTTGCCCTATATAAAATTACAATCATACTGCTGTTGCTAAAAATGTTTTATATCTACTAAAAAAATCCGAAAACCTAAGCAAAAAATTTCAGAACAATCCCCACTGCATAAATGTATTCAAATTTCTGCCTAATTACTGCTGCTTAGTAGCAGACCTTGGTTTATTAAAATAGATTTTCGAAACGTAGTTGTCTTCCAAATAATTTTTATATTATTTAAAATACAGTTACCGGTTTTTTAAAACTCAATACTGTAGACAACACCATCTGGGAATTAGAGTGAAGGCTTATGTCTTGGTCAAAATTAACTTTGGACAAAAAGTCATCTTTGAAAATAATTTATTGACTAAACAATATAATAGAGATGCATAAAAAAAATTAGACAGATATACCTACTTATGATTTTTGTTTATGAAAATGACTCGGTGTATTGCCCTCCATGGGCATTTCTTTAAATTAATTGTTCTAAAGATCCAATAAGATAAATCAGGAGGTAATATCCAATTTTCTCCATGTAAAAAAAAATTCCAATATGAATAAGTTCAATATAAGCTTAAAAAAAGAACGGCAAGACATGTTGTATTATATTAAAGGTGCAGAGAAATGAAACCTAAATATGCATGGAATGCAAGTAGTGCCACCCGTGTTTTATTATTATATATTTACTGCACATAGCCAAATAATATACCTTGCATGTGCTAGGTATAGATTTTTACATATAAGGATATTGGAAATATATTCTCAGCATGTGCTAGGAATAATAGTTATTTATACTGGGGACATAGCAAGCACAACATTTTGGTTGGTGTAGTAGGAAACTACTGGCATGTGCTATGCACTAGAATTATGAATCTTCTAAGAATTGAGCTGTTTGTATTCTATGGAAACTAATTATAACGAAAGTCCATTAGGGTAAAGTGTAGCACCCATCACCAGTCTCAAAACTGAAAACTTATTATTTACTTATGTTCCATAAGCACACAAATAAGTAGGAAATTTAGCTGGCTACTTAATTATAATAAAACTGGTCCAATCCTTATTAACAAATTTATTTTAAAAGACGCCTATTGAAAATACACCGGCATTAAATGTCATCGGGCTTGTCCGCCAAGTCAAAAGTTGATAAAAAGACCTTTTTCCTTTGCCTTCACCTTCACCTCTCTGATAACTTCATGATCGCAGGCATTCAACGTTCTTTAATGACAACTCGCCGCTTCTATAAAATTCACAGATTACTCACAAGAAAGACATATTTTTGAAAATGTATTAGTTAATAAGCCAAAATGATGATAAAAACTTTTTCTAAAGAGAAAGAAAAAAAAGTACAATAACAAACCAATTGTTATAATACTTACCATTTACAACTGTAGATAGGATAAGATTAACAAAATTTCCTTAAATCTTGCCACCTTCCCAACTACATAGCTGCGGACTTTGTTAAATATAAATGAACTTGCCCATAAGTTATCTCTAGGGCGCCAGTGGCTTTCTTCATAACCACATTTACTGTTGCTTGTTTCATATGGCTGACTGCATTACAATAAAATAAACCCGTTTCTTAAATTCAACATCTTGGTTTTATCCAAATATTGGATTTGACGCATTGCTCATGAGATTCCATGCCGACTGAAAGAGGAAACAGTTCCAGAAATAGATGATGAATCTGCAGTGTGATTTAAAGAGAGCAAAAGTCCGGTTGATTTTCTTAATATTACATAGGTTCAACTTAATGACAAATATAATAACTATAAAAAAAGTAAGGAAAGGTTTAAATTTAATCAAAAAGTATTTTTTTATTTATCAAAATTAATGTTGTCCCCTTCAAGCAAGTTAGAAACAAGCAATGACTGAGCAGCTGTATTATCGTGATGCAAAATCCGTCCAGTTTTCTTAGTTTCGGACATTTTCTTCGAATTGGTAATACTCTTCATTGCTCTTACGACCTTGTGGTAACAACTCTTGATATACTAGGCCACGATACTCAAATAAAACAGTAAGCAAAACCTTGACATTTATTTCAGTCTTAGCGATTCTGGGTTCTTCCATTGGGACGACTGGGCTTTGGTTTTGACGTCATAACTATATACCCATGATTCGTCACCAATTATGACCTTTTTGAGTTTATCAGGATCATTATCGACGTTGTTTAACAGCTTGAGCTTGATCCAGTGTTTTGCAGCACAGTATTCCATTTTATACACAAAATTTTATGCAAATTCTTTCTTTCTTTTTGACAGCAGAAAATCGGCAAGCACGCAAAACACGTCTAACGGTTCTGTCTCACAAAAAAAAAGTAAATTTACAAACTGACTAAAATTGTGAACATATGTTACGGACATGTGTACAAACATAACAAAAAAAATATATCGAAAATCGAATGTACATAGCCCGCCCAATTACAAAAGTCACCTTAATTTTTGAATACACCTCGTACATTAAATTAAGGATAACACTTCGGAAAAATTCTATGTAACTACTAATGCACGTTATTGTTGAACCTTATTCCGGCCATTTTACGTTTCACTAAACAAACTTTCTGGGGTTCAAAGGAGGATATGATTAGTTACAAAAATATCGCGAATACACAGACACCAAGGTTTGGACCACCGAATACCATTTTTGTTGTTAGACAGCGTTGTTTTGATATCCTCTTGGAAAATAAATATTAATCACTTCTCTTTCATTGTCTTTTTGCTTAAACAGAATATAAAAGGTTCTAGCGAAGGGATTTAATAAATATTGAATCATTCTGTTCATCTTATCGCAAATATCTGTCTGTTTGTATGTGACAATAGTGGTTAAGCACCGCGCCACTTTTTCAAACTTTTGAAGACATTTAAATGAATAAAATTAATTAGTAATAATTCCAGAATGGTTATTGAAAAATGTTATAGTTTGGTGGAAAAATATATCATTCTGACAGACATTTAAATGCAGACAAATTAAAGTTGTGCGGGTCATTTGTTTTATAGATATTTCCTATTTTGCTATTGTTACAAGTATCTACTGAGAATATGCTAGATCTCAGTTGGAAGCATATCCGTTAATGAATTTATAAGCAGATAACGAAAGATCTGTAGCAAATTCAAGGAAAATATGCAATATGTATATATTCATAGAACATTCCTGGAATCTGAGAATAAGAATATAAGACGATTTCCCATTCCTGAAGACACTTTAATACCGTTAACATACGTCAATGGCCGACACGAAATTTACCACTCTATACTTCTTTGAAATACCATATAGGAATATTTATTTACTGTCATTTTTCGTTTTTACAGAATTACATAAAAACAAAATTAAGAACTCCTTACAAAATAATCTGAATGCACTTAGAGACTGCATTTTGCCGTATCCGTCGGCCATTGGGCCGACCAACATTTCCGAATCGTTTTGAATGGATGCCGGTGGACATAATAAATATAAAAGAAAATCAAATATCCGCTTGGTGTGGCCACCATTTTGTCGAGAATCTTAATAGTGTTGTGATGCAGGTTCGAAACATCTGACGGCATGTCAAGATCGGAAACGGGCGAGTTAAAGAACGCCGGCACTGACAATGAATTTATCGCCGTGCGTGGAACTATTTCTTGGATAGGACTGGACGGAACCCCCTACAGTATCGAGTTTATTGCTGACGAAAATGGATTTCAGCCCAAGGGTGCCCATTTACCGAAGTAAACTAATTAATTACAGGATAGGACGTTTCTGACGCTAACTTCGGTTGTCGTGTACATATTTTTTTCTCGAATGTACGAAGAAATAATTAAAGGCTTCTCTCCACGGATGTGGTTTTTAGTCAGCTGTGTCTATAATCCTACCCCGCTGGTCCCAATTTTCTCTAGTTAAATCTCCATTGATTGATTAACTTAATCAAAATGAATTTCATTGGGAATGCAATGCAGACATTTTTTTAGATAACATTTCAATGCCTAACTACGTGCGACGATCTTGATTTTTTTTAATGTGGCGCCATCTGTTAGCACCGTTCGACACCCTTGAATAATGAGATCCGTGTGATATTAGTGTTCTTTCTACGATTTTTGCTTGCCTTCTTGCATTTGCCGCTCTCCTCAACAGATGGCAGCAGCTCATGATGCTCATTTTAAATGTGAATTATATAATTATAAATGCATATGCTATGCTTAGTTTCGATAGCCCTGTTGTCAAAATGGTATTATTGCTCTAAAAATAAAAAAATGAAAGTTTAAATATATTTTCAAAACTAACCAAATTTATGAAACGAACGTGGGTTTTGAAAAAAAGTGGGAGAAAAGATTTCATTCTTCGAGACAACTTTAAATTATTAGATTGTAAATTTGAAATAAGAATAGAAAACTATTTTCAAGTTCCTACAATATCCGCTAGATGGCGAAACTTTTGTGGTGAATAATAGAATGTAATTTTTACAAAATTCTAGCATAACTTTCAGTAAATGTTGAATTATTTTCGACCTATCTGCTACGGGGCAAAGTTAGATATTAATAACTCCGATACGGGTTGTCGAAATCAAACGGTCTCTTTTAAACAAGCAATCTTTACGCTATATTATAATTGTAAATGTTGAAATAAATAGGGTATTCCACTTAAACTCACAACATTATAACGTTCTCTATGAGGCTCTGGTGGGTCTGCCCTCTTTGCCGTATCGGGTGCGGATGGAGGCGGCTAGGATGTCTGTAAGGCTGCTGGCTCTGGAGAGAGGGAACTTTCAAGCGGGGCCGGGTACGACATTTTAGAGGGCTAGCGCGGGGATGGCGGTGTCATGAGCTTGCCGAGTGACGTCATGATCCCTGAGATGACCTCCTCCCATCAAGGGAGGAGTGAATAGAGGGCAGAGAGCGTACTACGAGACAACGGGATCGAGCTTGTCGGTCCTCCTTACTTTACTATTAGCTAAAACTCTCTTTTCAACGAGATCTAGCTCTTTAATTTTTATTGAGATTTGATTTATTCAAGCATCTTACGTTTGGGCAGTAACGTTCAAAGGTTAAATTATGCTGAAAAATAATACGTTTTATTATGGAATGGACTATTTTGTACAAATTGCAATGTCGCAACAAAACAGTTCCTTAAAGGGCAAGAATTATTGAACTTCGGTTGCAAGTTTACCGTAAACGAATTAGATGGTCTATCGAAAGTCAGTGCACAGCACAACAATTAGCTCACAAAACATTTTATCTTGCGTGAATATACAGTGAGTATCGATAAGAAATTCATGAATTGTCAAAATATATAAGATATAGTGAACACACACACGGGAACGTTAATGATATGTTCAACAAAGAATATTCCAGCTAAATAGTTCCGATGTGCATTCATTCTACAATTAATTATGTATGTATGTATCAATTATGTATTAAAAACTGTGAAAATCTGAACATTTTTTGTTTTAATTTAATTTGTGTTAAATGAATTTTCATTAAGTAAAAACCACCTCAGTCCAAGTAAGTAAGTCCAAGTAAGTCCATTTATAAATGACAGTAAATTACATACTAGAGAATCTATTATTGGTCTATAGTTCCTACTGTTTACTATATATAAACAAAACCTGGAACATGTAAGCATTAGTTTTTAATATCACAAATTTAACAGCTTCTACTAAATTTTAACAGAAAATTTTGAAGATTTGAAAATTCAACATAAGTTTAGGGTTTTAAATTAGTTTTCGTCGTAAGTGTCAAACTCATGAGTTCAAAATTGAATTTCTCTGTATCTTAGTAAAATCTTCAAATATTTTTTTTTATGAATTACATGCGGGTACAAACTATTGATACTGGGATTTTGTTTCAGAATACTTGGTAAAGGGCAGAAGTTATGTAATTTAATTAATAAATTAATACTTATTTATAATGAACACATGGATATTCCTGGAATGTGTTTCTTATGTATTTTCTGAGAATATTACAGGAATATTATTTTTATATGTGGTGGCATTTAAATAAAAACAGATCCCATCTTCTCCGACTACCTTATTTTGGCAGCTAGGAAGCAAAATTGATTCGAAATATGATGGAAATTATGATGGTACAATTTCTAACCAAACGAACATCCAAATAACGGAGAACAACGGGAACGGGTAGAGTAGAGGATACATAGGTCTAGCCTGTGTTTGCAGGGTTCATCAGGACACTAGAAAATACATTATATGTTGTTCTTTCTCATTCTCCAGACAGATTCCACACATGGAGGCGAATCGTGACTAACATACAATTAATTAACACAAGATAGAAACCTTTTGTAACTCGAAACCCGTTCTAGGTGCAGACTGTGGCATGGCATGGCAAAACAATTGAAAATAAGCACTCACCATGAAACGACCTATAGATCCCTGTCTAGAGACATCCAGAAGAGATTTCGTAAAGACAAATAAAATTACGTATTTGTCAAAAGATATAATCACAATCGCGTAGAAATGAAATTAAAGACCTGTTTCAAAGGATCTCGTAAGGCAGTTATGCAATTCAATCTGAACAGAGCTCTGTTGTTGGGGAAACCAAAACAGTATTAAATGTGGGGGAAAAATATTGCAAAAAAAACTGTTCGCCGGAGAAGCTAGAATTCAGAATGGAAGAAACAATTGAACATTTGAAAAAAGGAAAGTAGGCAATCTTGTGGCAAAGTTGCGGGAGAGCCATTGCAAAATTTGGGTAGACCTGGCACCACAATCTTAAACGATCTAGGTAATATCACATGGAAGCATCGTCAGTAGCCCAACTTTTATACAAACTTCAAAAAAGGCTGCAACCAAAAAATGTAGCAAGCACCGTCAAGGTCAGAATAGAAAACCAGCAGTCGCTCCCATTCAAGACCGGCAGGGGCGTTCACCAGGTTCAGGACCAGGCGTTCAGATCTCAAAAAGATAACAAATATGAGATATGCAGACAATACAATATTAACAGCTGCATCAGAGGAGGAAATGTTACATATACCAAACCGAATGGAGAGCAATAGATGTTGCCAAGCCAATTATGATGGTCGATCGTTCCAACATTCCGTAATTGACAGATGCTATGGAAGTTCGAGTGAAGGTGACATCCGAAGAAGAATAGGAGTGGATAAAAATGCAATAATCCAACTACCCAGGGACTGGAAAGACTAGTTGAATCTTTGATATCCACCATCCCCCGACATGGGGTGAAACGTGGACGATTCAAGGTCACAGGTATCACAGGTCTTACGAGTCAATCCTTACAGAAATGAACATCCGCAATAAAATCTTTTCGACTCGCCTTGTGAATATAATGAGATTTTTCGGACACATCGCGAGTAGAGACGATAACGATAACGGCTCATTAACCTGATGGATTGATCAGATCAAAAAAGCTACGAGCATTTCTTTCTACAATTGTGCAAATATAGGCCAGGATGGAATCAGAGACAACGGCACAACTTACAACTTACGAGAGGGACAGAGAAAAAGGCCAAAAGTTCCAAAGGCTGTAAATACAGTACAAAGTATAAAAAAATGTCTTATGAAGCAGTGGGTAAATTAAGCGTAAAAAAACCTATTACAAAAGGTCAAAAGTTCTCTAGCGTTCGTAACGCTGGTGCGGTGATTCCCCATGAATAACCAAGAAAAATTCCTAGTGGGTCACCTGGTACAACTTGGTGGTGACTCTTAGATTGTTAAGTAGTTGAAGGTTCATCTTTGTTTATAGTGCATTTTTATCGTAACTCATTGCCTCGTACTGAGTAGGCTTTTCTATTATGCGGAATATTAATTAGTTTTTAATACGAGATTGATGATTTTCGTGATTACGAAACAAAAACTTAGGTATAGCAACATAAATGTTCTACGTATATATAATTGTTGTTTCTCTTTCCGGTTGAAGTTATAGAATGGCAAAGTTGGCGATTTATATTAATTAAAATTTGTTACCTCTAATTTCTGTTTCGTTTAATTTTTTTGTTATTCGTCCTTTCCATTTTTGGGACTAGTTTTACTTTCTAGGTGTATGAGAAGTCGACAACACTATGGATGATGGTTTTTCGCGTTAACAATTAATCACAATTAAGAGCTGTTCATACAGGGTCAGGCATCTGGTTTCCGCGTTTATGGTATCAAAAATATTTGCGTTAACTGAACGTCCATCATTTTTTTGTTGTTAAATTTAAGGTTAGCGACATTAATAAATATTTCAAGTATGATTTATGCAGTAACCTCTACCAAGCTGAATTCATATACAAGATTATTTTATTATCACTTTGTTAAATACATCATAAATATTTTAAAATTGAAAAATTAAATAAATAAACAAATAAATCAACAATGGCTTTATTATATAAAACAATTTTCAACTTTATCGAGACTCGCGTAAATATCAATAAAGGGTGGTCGAAATTAGGGTGTCTTAACAGGGAAAACATATTTGTGAACTAGATAGAGCAAAATCCATTCGATTTTTGAGAAACTTTTAATGGTTAAAACCGCATGGCGACATCTTCACTACCAATCGAGATACGGGGTGTTTCTCAAATTTCGGTCCTTTTGAAAATTGGACATAACTTTTATATTTACGAAAATTTTCGATTCGGATAAAAACATTATTAGAGTTATATTCCCATGAGAACTGTAATATAATGCGTTTCTTACAATGTTTGCAAGATTCGCGCTTTTAAGTTCACATGTAGTATCAGCATGTAAGAATATAAATATATGTTAAACCCCATTTTGAGGCAGATGTATCTTAGCTCGCTTGTGAATAGTATTGCATTGGCCTACTCAGATTTTTTCTACAGATCTTCGTTTTCTCATAAATGAATAAAACTTTCTTATTTTTTA